ACAACACCCAATCCAAACAAATAATGATTTTTGAAAACCCAAATTAGAATTCAAAGCTTCAAACCTTTTTAATGGCTGTCAATGGTGGAATTGCTGTTCTCTTTTCCTTTCCTCTTATATTACTGAAATTTGGGATTGCGAAATAGAGAGAGACATAGAGAGAATTCTCAATTCTTTGCAACAACATCCAATCCAAACAAACAATGTCTTTTGAAAACCCAAATTCGAATTCAAAGCCTTGGCTATGGAAAAAATAATGGAATTTTGATACAGAAATCGTGGGTGTGGGAGGGAAACATGGGTGAATGTGTGGGAATTGGAGAGAGAAACGTGGGGGGAGTGGTATTAGAAGGAATATACAGTACCATTAAATTGGGAGTGTAATTAATACCCTTAAAAACTACTAATGGTATATAATTAGTAATTAGGTATACTAAATGTAATTATATCAAACTTTAAACATTGAGGGTAATATAGTTTCCTATATGGTATAGGAATGTAAAAATTCCGACAAAAATTTTAAGGAGAAATTTTCATAGAGAAACTTTCAGTTGTAGCTACCATTTACTATATTACTTTCTATAGCTATGTTTTCAGATTTTTAGAGTGTATTCGATGTATTTAAGCTATTCTATTCATGAATACAATATCATTTTAGACGTGAAACATGGGATTACAACTAGACAGATTTTTGTATTCGAGTGTTCGACTGTATTCATGACGTAAAACATGGGATTACAGCTGGATAGATTATTGTATTCGAGTGTATTCACGGCGTAAAACATGGGATTACACTATTTTTAAACGGAAAGTGAATCAATTAACATAATAGACTCCTAATATAACTCAACAAACTCAATTATAACACACAAATTTTGTATTTCCAGTTATAAAAAAGATTCTCAACAGAAAAACACCCCAAAAATATAGCAATCTTCAGAGAAATTATATAATACATCTGAATACATAAATTATATTAATTAAAAAAACATATGAATACATTCATGGAATATAGCGAGACAGTGAATACAATGAAATACATAGAATATGACGGGATATATTGAAATACAATGAAAAAAAGGATAATGAATACAATGAAATACATAGAATATAGCGAGATCGTTAAAATACAATGAAAAAAAGACAATGAATATAATGAAATACAGCGAGATACATTGAAATATATTAACAGAAAATTCAAGTTGCTCAGCTCCCAACTCCGTCGTCTTTGTTCAAGAACAACCCTAATGTCGTCTCGTCAAGAGGGTCGTGATTCTGACTCGAAACTCTCAAAATTTGGCGCAAAAGCGAAAGAAATTCCTTATTTTCAATAGCAAATTGTCTTCTTTTGTTAGTAATTCCGAATTTGGTAGATGAAGAAAAGCAGCAATGGAGTTGGTGAGAGGCAAGAGTTGCAGTGGGCATGTCCAGATTTCATTACAAACCAACGACAATCAGAATGAGGTGGATCTTTCTCTCTAGGGCTTTAGTAATCAACGCCGACGGAACCTCCGTCGCCTCTAGCGGTGCTTCAGTGGCCATTGATTTTTGCCTTAACCTGTGCTGATTTTTCACGAATGGAGAGGCGTAATGGAATTGTTGGAAAGAGACTCAGGTTATGGAGCTGGAGTTTTATTTAGAGAAAAATATTAAAAAGTGTATTTTATAACTTAAGGGTAGGAGGTAACCATAAATAAATATTTGGCTATAAAAATCAAAAGGTAGTTATGGAATATAATTTTTTAAAAGGGTATTTATTTAAAATAAATAAGGTATCAACCTTTGCTATAGGAGGTAAAAATTCCATTTTCATAAGGGATCTTTACACAAATAGCCAGTCATATTCATTATTTACTTTTTTTAATACTTTTTCTAGCCATATACATAGATTATACATTCATTACACATAATTATACACATATAATATTATGCATACACTATATCTCTGGCTATTTTTAGTTTAAGCGATTAGGTGGGAGACTATTTAGGTTAATTCTTCTTTTCATAAACCACTATAGTTTAGAGCCTAGAACTATAATTTGCTTAACTACCATTCATAGCTACTATTTAATTGCTACTAACTTGTATATCACTTATATTCAAACGCACACCGAATACAACCTGTGTCAACTGTATAACCAAGGCGGAATACAAGGATGTATACAAATGATACAACTTGTATAGACTGTATTTATTCGCGCAACAAATATAACTAAGATGAAATGCAGAAATACAGGAAAATAAAATTTGTTGAGAGTCGAACTCAATGTCTTCGCTGACTAAGCGGGCCCGCTAACCAACTGAGCTACGAGAGCTTATTACTCTCTTATTTTAGTTCAAAACAATTAATCTCTTATTTTATGAATTTGCTATAAAATTCAAATATAGCTACGAATGGTAAACTTGCTGAAAGTATTGTTACGAATAATAAATACAATGTAAATGTTTGATGTGTCGCGTTTTTTCCTAATTTTAAAAGTGTAAAAATATGACCCTCTTTGGGGGTGACTTTTACCTTTTGACCTCCGCTTGTCCAATGGGCATTCAAAAGTTAAAAGTGTTGCTCATTGGGCAATCGAAAGGAACACTTGTTAAACTTAAAATTCTGCCCATGGGACAGGCAAGAACAAAATTCAAGACTATCCACTTTAACGACTATCTGCGTGCTTCACCCGGAAAAAAAATTATAATGAAATCATGAACATTCTCTTTATTAGGGGTCATATTTCGTCATGTGGTGTAAAGTTCTCTTTTATCAATAACTAAAATTAATTGGATAGAGCCTTTATAAGTTAACATAGAGATTACAATCTGTGAAAATTTTCTCCAATAACCTTGATTGTTACAGGATAACAATGTAATTAAATCCAATTTAATACAAGCAAAGAAATACACAAAAATATTACAAAGCTTGTTTGAGATTGAGATTGTTGCACACTAACACAATTGCAAAGGTTGTAACTAAACCGCAAAAATTCAAGTTTAAGGAGTTGTATTAATTTATTGCATTTTATCCATATACAAAATGGATATGGATATCTGTTGCTCTTGAATATGAAAACTATAAATTGGTTCAAAGTAAGAAGACCTTAATAAATGACATACAACAAGGTTAAATTCATGTACTACTTCAAATTCTTAGGTGTGGTTCACGTATCAGCTTCTGATCTTATCGAAGCTATCTTGGGTCATTCTTCCATCCTTTGAGACGTTAGTACTCTTGTTCGTCCTGGAGAAATACATTTCACATTTCTACATCTTGAGTAATGTTAGAGTTTTCAAACAAGTTTATAACGTTTTGAGGCACTCCGTTCATACCTTTATGTTTTTTCATTGGATATTTAAATTTTTTTTCCTTTATAATTTAGACTTGTACAATGAACGCAAGTGAAATAACGGGCTATTTTTAAAAAAAGAAAAAAAGACAATTCAGTACACAAGTAGGTATTCCGCCTTCATGCAGGGTTGGAGGAAGGACTGCACCTCAAAGGGTGTGATGTAGACAACTTATCCTAATACATACATTAATGACTGTTTTCATGGCTCGAACCCGTGACCTATATGTCATATGGAGATAACTTTACTGTTGACAAAGACTCCACTATAACTTAGTCTCGATATATCTAAACTATAAAATAGATGACTTCATAATTTGTTCAAGTTTGTAACTACACTAGCAATGCACAATTGGGATGTATTTACAAGAGTTTTCCTTTTGTTATTGTTATGATCACATTGTTTATAGTATAATTTTTGTGTATAGATATAAATTGACCGGTGTCTGAAAATAGAAGTTGTCTGTTTTCTGCACCTTTCACTTTCTTCTGGTTGAAAAAGAAAGACATAGATGCAAATGATAAATAGGCGACTAGGCGTAGATGACAAAAAATTAATGAAAACAAAGAAAAATATTTTATACTAGTTTTTATTTTCATTTCCTTTGATTTTTTTGATAACGCAATTATGTTTGTTCTTTCACCTTTGCTTTCTAGTAAAGAAACTTTTAGAAAACGAATGAAGGAGCAGTTCTTTTCAGGTTTCTAATTAAACATTCTCCCTTTTAGCACTGAAACGTGAAAAATAGACATGATGAGTAAATTAGAAGTCCTATTTATATTAACACTTGATTATTAGCGGAGTATTAAGTATCAAATACCCAATTAACTACATGTAATGAGCTATGCCAATCAACTTTCCATCAGAATCCTACAGACTTTGCACATATTAAATAGATTTCTTAAAATAAATGCAGAGTTTTAATCAAAATTAAAATTGACTTAGAAACAATTGATCTTCCTGAAGAAGGGTGATTAATCACCCATCATTAAGCCCATTCTTTTGTGTTTTAAATCATGATGGAATTCAGAAAGCCGCCAATATTGATGATTCCTCAAGTCATTAGTCAAATAGGGATTGCTTCAAATTGCAGCTACTTAAGACAATATTTTGTCAACAGCAGTACGTAAATAGGATAATTTCCCTATCATCCAACTTTCAATTTATTGTATCAACGTCATAAAACTAATTTGATTAGCGGAAAAAAAAAAACTTAAGTTACTTACATGTCACATAAGATAAAATATGCTGAAAAATGCTCAACTCCCGACTATGCCATTCTTGGCGATGTGTGACGACCACTTAGCATAATATATATAATTTCAGTATACTATAACTATATCTAAAGAAAAGTCTCAAAATACAAGTTGGGAAAGCAATCTGACACTAGAATTAAAAGTTAGTGACATAAAAAATAAATAAAGAAACAAGAATTGAAGTCTTTATGTACTTGGTTGCTTGAGCTTATGATCAAGAACTTGAACTTGTTTGAGTATAAATACAGTTACCTCCCTTTTTACAAATTCTGAAATTAAAAAAATCACAAAGTGGAATTGCTTTAAGAACTGTAAATATCTTTACATAACAAACAATGATCAGAAATCAATCTCCCTATGATACTTCCTTGTTCAATTTTCATATTATTACTCTGTCTATTCCAAAGGTGCACACCATAAGTTTCTCCACTGAGTTGTAGCAATTTGGCTTCTATCCATCTTGACTGACTTCTTGAATTAAACTTCATAAAAAAACCTGATATTCTAATCCAATCAACTGGATAAAAAGCAATTGGTGGTAACACAGTAAAGTTAAACTCATCTCTATTTGTTGAGATCATTAACTTTTCTACTACTCTTGAAACCAAATATGGACCATTTTGTCCCCACTTATTCCCATTAAAAGAAAAAGCAAATTCCTCCATAAACTTATAAAGAAGTGGATGTTCCTTATCAAAAATCAACACTGCATTATTCAATCTTGTCCACTTCCCATTTGCACCTACGCTTTGTGCACCAATTGAATTCCTCAATCTTGAAAAATCTTTCAAGATTATAAAATCCGTGTCCAGATAAACACCGCCATATTTGTACAAAACCGCTAACCTAATCAAATTGGATAAATTCTGAGCCAATGGGATTTCACCAGGGTCTTTTTTACCATTTTTGAGGTCATCAAACCAAGATTGTACAGGCGTATTGTTGAACAGAAAAGATAACTCTGGAGTAACGGCAAGAACTTTATACCCCAATTGAATTAAGGGTCTCAAGATTTTAACACCACGAGATGTATCCAAAGTTTGTGACAAAATTATCAAACACCCTTTTGGATGGGCTTTGAATAGAGTTTCCAATGCAAAAAATTCCCTTTTTCCAAAAGAACTAGCAGGAGAAATCCATGTCATGAATAATTGAACTGAACAACTTCTTGTAATTAAGAAATTGTTTACTCTGCTATTGAATTGACTTGACAATCTTGTTGACTTCAATATGCTAAATTCAGGCAACTTTTTTCTGAACCAAGAAATTCTTTCTTCTTCTGTAAGATTATAAGGAGCCACCAAATTCACATGCACTTCTTCTTGTTCTTGTTCTTCTTTGATAATATATGATACTTCATTAATTTCTTCCTTTTTGTAAAACAAAGGTTTGTGTACAAAAGTTGACTTAAGTGGCTTTTGAGAATTAGTTTTTGATACAAAAACAACAGAATTGGAAGAAGAAAAATTAGATATGAGATTATCAGAAAAGCTGATAATACAAACAATCAAAGCAAAAGAAAGAATAGAAAAAAGATGAAATTTTTTTGTTCTACTGATTCTGTAGTAGTCAAACATCTTCACCATTGGAATAGTACTACTTTCTGTATATTGCTATAAAAAAGTGATGTAGCATATTAAGGAGGAGAAAGAAGAAATTAAAGATAGGATAAAAATGAAGGTTTGAATTTGTGCAAGGAAGTTTATAGTTGTACGAATTTGAACACTTCAAATGTTATTTTTGGTAAAGTTAATAGTACAACTTAGCTTAGAGAAGATTTATGGCTGCTGTTGTAAGGGGAATGTATAAGGAAATGAGAAGAATATTGACTTGTAGAAAAAGCATATCTTTTTGGTTTATTTTATTGAGGAATAATAAGGAAGAATTTGAAAAGGTAATTTCATGCATAAGGCTTCGTGGAGGGCCAAGTTAATTATAGAGTGGCCTCTTTTATTTTGGTCAATAATTGCTCGTTAAGAAAGTTCTATAAATACTAATACTGTACTAGTTATGTTTAAATATGTCAATAAGGTTTAATTGACCTTTTGATTATACAAATTGTTTTAAAAATTGCCGCTTTTATATGTGTTTTAAAAAATTATTACGAAAGGATTTAAGTTATTGATGCTGATTGTGTAAAGATTTCGTACACCATTATTAAATTTTAACTCGTGATAATATGTTAGTTACCATTTTAATCAGATCACTGATTATTGTTATATATATTTACCTAAAAAACCTTAAAAGTAATCTAATTATGTAAATATTTTTTACCTCAAACTTAAACTCGTTTGTAAATTTTTACGAACCACTAAACATATAATTAAGTAGCTTCATAGCCTATTTGGCCAAACTTCTTTAAATCCAAAAATACTTTATTTTCCCAAAGTTCTTGTGTTTGTCTAAGTTTTTAGAAGAAAAAAAATATTTTTAAGTAGAAGCAGAAGCATTATTGAAGAAGCAGAAAAAAGTAGTTTTTCTCCAAAAACACTTTTTTGAAAAACATTTTTGAGAAAAATACACTTAGAAGTAATTTTTTAAAAGCTTGGCCAAACACTAACTGCTCAGAAGTGTTTTTCAAATTAATTAGCCAAACACAAACTGATTCTCACCAAAAGTGCTTTCGAAAAAAGCAATTTTGAGAAAAAATACTTCTCAAAATAAACTGATTTTTGCAGTTTGGCCAAACAAGCTATAAATTAGAATAGTTACTCTTACTATGGTATTGCTTTGAAGTGGAAAAAGAAAATTCGTTTTTGCCTAATTTCTCATTTTGTTGTCCAAATGAGGAGAAAACACGTTAGATAGACTTTAGTTATTACTCCCCATATTTCAATTTAGATGATACACTTTTCTTATTAGTTTGTTTAAAAAATATCGAGAATCACTATTAACGACCTTACTCTACCACAATTAGGAACCCTAGCTACAGCTAGTGAGCGAGCTTAACTAAGAGAGAAGGCAGAGCATGAGAGCTGGGTTTAGGAAATGAAAATTGATTCATTACTGAAGAAGAGATACAGTGCAATCTTATATACATGTGTTCTAACCTCTAATGACAGATGTCAACAACTAATATAACAACTTAATCAACTAACTAACTGATTACATAATTAGTTACTAACTACAACCTATTGAAGCATGTCCCTCAAGTTACTGCTCCTTCAATACTCCCCCTCAAGCTGGCAGGTGCAAACACATTTAGCACTCCCAGATTGGACACAAGATATTCATGCTGTGATCTTCCTACTGCTTTTTAAGGATGTCTGCCTATTGTTCTTCTGAACCGATGTACAAAGTCTTCACCATACCTGATTGGATCTTCTCTCTAATGAAGTGACAATCCACCTCTATGTGTTTTGTTCTTTCATAATAAACTGAATTTGCTGCTATTTGTAGAGTTGCCTTACTGTAACAATATAGTTCTACAGGTAGGTTCACCTATGCTCCAAGCTCTTTGAATAACCCTACTAGCCATACTAGTTCAGACACTGTCACTGTCATGCTTCTATACTCAGCTTCAGCTGAGCTCTTGGATATTGTATTTTATTTTTTTTGATTTCTATGATATCAAAAAATCTCCATACTTCACAATGAACCTTGTGACTGATCTCCTTGTATTTGGACATGAAACCCAGTCTGCATCACAATAAGCTTTCAGTTTCTCTGGCCTCTTTGAGCTCATCAGAATCCCTAGTCCAGGTTCCTTTTTCACATACCTCACAACTCGTAGGGCTGCTTCCCAGTGTGACTTTTTGGGTTGCTGTAGGAATTGGCTGAGTGTCTGAATTGCAAATGCAATGTCCAGTCTTGTCATTGTCAAATACAATAGCTTCCCTATTAGCCTTTGATATTTTCCTCTATCTTCAAGCAGTTCATCACCTGTTTTACCCGTGACTTAATCCAGTTCTTTAGCTGTAAATTTCTGAATGCTAAGAGGAGTCTGGGATGGTTTTGCAACACTCAGCCCTGCATCTGCTATGACCTCCAGTGCATACTTTCTTTGGTTCATAAGAATTCTTTTCTCCGATCTACTGAATTTCAAACCTAAGAAATATTTGAGTTCCCCTAGATCTTTGATCTTGAATGTCTTATTTAGTCTTATCTTGGTTTCCTCAATTAGCTTTAAGTCATTCTCATTCACCAACATATCATCAACATAGACAAGTATGATGAATGTACTGATATCCTTCCTCTTTATAAACAAAGAGTAATCTAGGCAGCTTTGCACAAAACCAAATTCCTCTAAGGCATCTGTCAGCTTTAAATTCCATTGTCCACTGGCATGTTTGAGCCCATAGAGGGATTTAACAAGCTTGAACACAACTCCAGACTCCCCCTAGATGGTGAATCCCTCTAGTAACTGTATGTAGACTTCATCATGTAAATCTCTTTGAAGGAATACATTGTACACATCCATTTGATGGATGCGCCAATTTTTAGTTGTTGCAAAAGCAATGACTGATCTGACTGTTGTAAAGATTTTATTGTAATCCAATCCTTTCCTTTGGTTGTAGCCTTTGGCAACCAATTGAGCTTTAAACCTCTCTATAGAACCATCTGCCTTGTACTTCACTTTATAGACCCATTTGTATCCTATTGGTCTCTTCCATGGTAATAATTGGACAAGTTCCCAAGTGCCATTGTCTTCTAGTGCTTGAATTTCTGTTTTCATAGCTCCCACCAATCTCTTATCTTTGGATGCCTCCACAAAGTTTCTTGATTCTTCAATAGCAGAGAATGCAGTTAAGTAATTCTTATAGTTGTGATGTATAGTGTCACAGCTGATTGAATTATTGATGGAATGAGGATTTTGATGAGCTGTGGTGGCTATAGCTGTAACATAATCTGTGAGCCAAATAGATGGCCTTTTATCCGTGTTAGATCTCCTTAAAGAATCAGCAGGTGGGGCCTCTAATGGCTGATTATCAACTTCAAACTGGTCTAATGGATTAGGATCATCATCTGAGCCCACTGTGAAAATCAATTTCTTGAGGGAGGTCTTTAGCATCATTTGGTGGACTGTGTATAGCAGCAAGTGATTCATCTACTGAGCTATCAGAAGCTTCAGTGATTGGATCAACAACATCAGGGCCTGCAATAGCATCTGCATCAGCACCTACATCATGTGGCAACCAATGTGCCATACCAAGATCATCATTGAGTGGGAATATACTTGTAGTATCAATAAACATAGAAGATTTGCTGCTTCTCTGTTGCTTGATAGGAAAAAGGGATAATACATACTCATCCCCTTGGGGTTGAATCACTTTTCCATATGCACCCTTTATCTTTGCGGAAATCCTATGACCCCCTGGACGATTTCAAAATGGAATTTTTACACCCCTAATAAGGTAAAACCACATATGTGTTTGAGCGGTGAAGCACACGCGCCTGACACGTGTACAGTTTTATAAAAATATTTATTTTTCATATTCTTTTCCTTCTTTCTTTTGTTTTAATATTTTTTTTATTTCCTTTATCTCTCTCTCCTCTTTTTCCTTTATCTTCTTCCTGTTTTCTTCTTCCCAGAAAGTGACCTTCACAAAATTCTTTCCAATTTTTTTTTCTTTTTTTTCCTTTTTTATTGACCAAATCTTATATAACTGGGTTTGTGGTTATGTAAGAAGAATATGTATGCATAAATGGTGAGACCCCCATTAATAGGGTAGACTTGTCGAAAGAGGACCCATCTAAAATTAACCTGAAAAATAGATTTCGTCCACTTTCTCAAATCTTAACCATCAAAATTTCTTGCTGTTATATTGAAATAATTTTTGGTTACTTCTAATAAGTTTCAAGATGTAAGCGATATAGAAAGAATGTATTTTGCCATTGCTCTCTTGCTATTAATTATTTGCAAATATTTCTGCAAATAATAGTGGATGATAAGGGGAATATTTAGAAGAATGAAGAACTGGGATGGGTTGTGATAGTAGAACAATGTTTGGAAGGTTCTTTTATTACAAATTAACATTTTTTTTAAATTTTGGTGGATTTAATTCCGAAAATTCAAAAGCAATTTTGTTTGTTTTCTTATAGCTCCAAAAATGGTGGAAAGTGATATTAGAGATGGAAGGTAGATGTGAGATGAAGAGAAAAGTTTGATGAAATCGGAATGAGAAAGCTTGAGTTTTGCCTTCAGTGGCTATTAGATGGGAAGGAAGAAGAAAATGAAGAAGATGAATGGATATGGAGTCAAAATAAAGATGGTGGCTCCTATCAAAACCTTTTTGTCTTGTTTTTATTGTTCCTCACACGTGTTGGGTTGGGGAAATGCACTACTCTCTGTTCCACATCAACACTGAAGGTGTTATTTGTTTCATTTCAAATACAGCCAACGGGGTTATAGGATCCGCGCAAAAATAAAGGGTGCATCTAAAAAATTGATTCAACCCCAAGGGGGTAATTATGTATTATCCTAAAGGAAAAATATTTTCCTTAAAGACTACATCTCTGTTCACAAAAAATACATGGTTGGTCAGATCATAAAGTATGTACTCCTTTGTCACTTCAGAGTATCTCATGAATGCTGCTGGAACTGCTCTTGATTCAAAATTTTCATGATTATGCATCCTCTTAACATAGCATAGGCATCCCAGACTTCTGAAGTGATCCCAGCTAGGCTGCCTGTTATGAAACATTTCATATGGACTCTTCCTTTGGAGTACTACTGCAGGCAGCTTATTGATAATATAGGTTGCTCAGAATTTTATAGGCATATTTCCCTGAAACCTAATGGCTCTTGCCACTTCTAGAACATGTCTATGTTTTTCTCAGTTATCCTATTCTGTTGAGGTATATAGACATATATCCTCTGATGTACTACCCCAT